ATATATATATATAATGTTTGTAAGCAGTTGAAAATTACAAACAAATATAATTACATAATTGATTCTATTAAATTACATGATAATAAAATTTATGTAGCCCTAAATTTCCGCGTTAATAATCGTGACTTTGTATTTTCATAGTAAAATAAAAGGCGAAACCGGAAGTATGCGTATTGCGAAACCGAACAAAATGATGAAGCGTAGCGGTAGTAGCGCATCGTACACGAAGGGGAGTAGCATTGTCGACGTTAAAAATAGTTGACATGTGCGTCCAATGCGAGAGACGATGCATTCGACGATGCATGTGCGTTCGATTCGAGACACGGCGCATGAACATTGCACGTTGCTCGCAACGTCATTCTTGGCATTAAGCACGCAGGAAGTGAGCCTAGTCATTGTAAAATGGCACTTTACGGTGTATTCCCCCATCTGGAATTACCGTAGAAATTTCAAATTGTAAATTGCGCAAGTGGCCGACAATATGTCGAGCAGAAAAGAGTCGCCGTCATTATAGATTTTCCACGACCGTATGTCATTTCTGCGGTAATAGGTGTTAACAAAATTGCACGTTCACGGCATAAGAGACATGAATCTCGATGATATTCGTCACCAGTGTCCAATCTCGCGTTTCTCGAAGTCATCGCGTCAGTTGTCCAATCGCGATTGGCAGTTTCTATGGGAGGAAAGTGAACGTTCTGTTCACAGTAGAAAAACGAGAATCGTATGTACGCATAAAGAAGATCACATCTGCTTCGGGGCGCTACGCCGACAAAAACGCCGAAAGAAACTGGCAGCCGATCCGAATAGCACGAAAAATCGGTGACGAGACCATTACAAAGTCCTTCACTGGGGAAGTAATGTGTTATTGAGAAGCTACCAGGTATAAGTTATGCTTCCCATCTAATTCGAGAGTTCATATTGTACCGAGAGCCTCTATGTGAGGTGCCTTGACGGTAATGGGCCACCTTTTGTGCAAGATGCTCTATTGATGTCGAGAGAAACTCCCTAACGCTTTGCGCAATACGATAAATAGCTCGTTTCCTCTTCGTCTCTCATGGTTTTTCTCTTTCCGCTGAAAACATCTTGTCGACTACGTCGGCTATGCCGGCGACGGGAGTCCGGGATGAATCCTCGCGCGGATTCACCTGGCGGCTTCACGAATAGTGAACTCGCCTGGGAGATCATTGGAAACTCGTCAAATTCGAATGGCGCTTTGTGAATCAGCGGTATGGAGGACTTTCGGCTTTTGTCCGCGGGACAACACAGTTGGTCGACACGAATCATGGTTTTCCATTGTGAAGTCAAGAGGAACCGACGGAGGGACGGCGATTGTCGTACGCAGGTTTTCGAAGCTGCTCGTTTGAATCGATTTGGCGACAATACGAGATAATCTAACTACTGATGCGTACTGATGCGTAGCAGCTAGTGCGAGTCACGAGATGGTAAACGATAAATGGAAGTTGCATCACGTTGTTAACGTGTACATTTCTATTATTTTCTAATATCGCGAGCAAAGTCCTCCGCTTCTAAATGTTCACGGTGAAGATGAATGCCGGCTAGAATAATGACGGGTTCGTATATCGTCGCTAAAATATCATCAATGCCGTGTAGATACTCCATCGGTAAGGAGCCAACGAGCGAAGCAGCGAGGCATCTCGCGCTACAAGCAGCTATATGAAGCCAAGGAATGCGTTCGTCCGATCCCACGGCTTATCCCCCTTCACTCTCCCTTCCCTCGTTAGCTCTTTTTCTTTCTGGTACGATAGTAGTATTACCGGGCTTAGGTGTTCTCTCTCTCTC